AAACTTTCTTTTTTTTAAGGTTTCCTTGTATCAGTGATGATTATCCCCTTGTATGTTGGTATTGTGCCCTACTGCTTTTTAGGCCGTTAGAGAAACTAACATGAAGCTTAATATAAATAATATAAAAAAGTGTGCGAATAGGAATGGGTGTAAACAAAAATGTTAACGCTTGTTCCGAGAGTGGGCCAGTAGGGCAGCGAAATGTTAGCTTTCGTTATTAAGCGGGGACCAAACGCACCTGTTTAAAATGCGTGTCTTAATACGGACCGATAAAAAATATACTTTACAGTCATCGAACTTCTAAAATGGTCACTAATTATCTGTAACCTTAGATAATACAGATTTCATCGCAAATAATAGATAAATAAAGTCTTATGAATCTCGAACCCACGCTCGTTTTTTTAAGCCATTCGTTGCCATTGAACGAGCTCGTTTTGAAATACTGTCTGTAGTTTACGCGAGTAGTACACATTTAAATAAAACACTTCATTTAACTTATTAAAATTACTTATTAAAACTCGATATATATTAGTTAAACTTATTTGAAAACTATTTTAATTACGGCCCGACGTTTCGGCTGCTTTGCAGCAGCCTTTGTTACGGAGGCTCTGCTTCGCGACTGCTGCAAAGCATCCTAATATAAGTAATCCTAATAAACTAATATCTATCACGTTTTAAGCCGTTAAGGTGTTTTATTTAAATGAGCCCTTTTTATTTATATAGAAATAAAGAAGCTTTTTATGTTTATTTTTATTGTGCATGTTTTTGATAAAACCCGATAGTAATTGTTTGTTTTGTTTGTTTAGTAGAGCCTTAATATAATGGTCAATGACAGGCTGCTTATTGGGTTACACCGACCTACAAGGACGCAAAACATACCAATTGTCTTACTACTATTGTATGCTTCATATCATCAAATTGAGATAAGATTGGAGTAATGGAAAATAAGACTATGAACTCCTGAGAACTCTTGAGACAACAAGAGTCGAAGCTTTTACGTCTAGCAATCTATGGCCAACCAGGTCCAACATTTTTCTAATTAATTCTTAATTTTTCTGAAACATGCTAGACTTCGTTTGGAAATCTGGATGTTGAATGGGTCGTAGGAATGTCAAAATTCCATCCGGGTCACTAACCACCGTCCACAGGTGAAAAAGCAATCAAGTTTAATAGATTTCAGTCTGTGAATTTCTAAATATAGAAAGCCAAAAAAGGGCGACAGCACATCTAGTTTATGTGACTAGGGTGTTGAACCTCCCATCAAATTAACCCTATGCCTATCTGTACTTCGCTCAAAAAAAACCTTTGGTATGTTTAAAGGTAAGAGAGCGTATTTTCGTTTATATGTAAAGGTTTGTTTTTATCGTACTAAGGTACTATAATCAATACATTTCTGTTACATGTAGCAATATAAATCTTCCTATTTTTATCAACTTGAGTTATATGCGAAACTCACATAATTTTCTCTTTAATACGCAGTTCAAGATATGATGTCGCTACCAAAGAAAGTGAAGTTTGATCCCGATGTGAACCAGAACGCATCATTGGTATCTACCTCATAGTAAGTGTCTGCGACGCTACATAAACACGATGCTTATAGAATTATCTTTACATCTGTATTTACACAGAATAAAAAATTGTAAGCTTTAAAACACGTTCTATGTCAGATACTAACCTTAGATATTTCCCTTATTTTAATGACTATCATATTTTTACGGGCAGATATAGATTCATAATACATAATAATACCTTTGATCAGTCCTTTATAAGTCATTTATGTTCAAATTTCTTCTTGAGGCATTAAATTAACTAGATAAACATAGTACCTTAATGAATACTCGTATCACTAGAAGTATGCTATAAGTTAGGTTAGATCATAAATGTACCCTTTCAACCGATTCAAATTTCATTGCTTGGAGAGTGGAGACAGATTTTCTCAAAAAAATTGGTTTAATAGATTACTCCAAGGCGGGTAAGCGCGTTTTACAACTACCGCCATTTAAATAAAACACTTTAACGTTTTATAACGCGATATATTAGTTAAACTTATTTGAAAGTGATTTGATGTCTCCCCGTGACCACGGCTGCTGTAAAGCATCCGAAACGTCGGGCCGAAGTTAAAAAACATTTTCAATTAAGTTTAACTTATATAACACGTTTTAAGCCGTTAACGTGTTTTATTTAAATATGCACATCTCGCGCAAACTATAGACAGTATTTAACTACCGCCATGATAGCATTGTTTTTGTTTAACACTGACGACAGTGACAAAAAAATTACATTTACGACGAGCTGATACTTAATACCGATCTAAATTTTCGTCTTTCTTATGATTCGAACCTGGGACTTTGATTTCGGGTATCAATATGCATTTCTTTATAAAAGCTTTGCTGCCTAACAGGCGAGCGAACGATCTTCGTTTGTTTTCCTCTAAGTTTAACAATAGAAAAATATCAAAGACCTCAATTAGCTAAGAGGTGAACGTCCGTAATTCGCACTTTTGTTTTTAAATTCGGTTACTTTTTACGGGCGGTCGTGCTACCAAACCGCTTCACTTTCTCCAAAAACTCGATGTTAGCGTAATTTTTAAACCATACTTAATCTCCCACATTTTTCCTAAAGGTATTTAGAATAGCTATTCATTCGGGTTAACTATACAGTTTTATAGATGTACACACTAATTTACTTGAATAGTTTGGACGAAAGTTTTAGTGTTCCGTTAATCTAAAAAGGTAAATTAGCCCTACTACGGTAAATATCTAATGGACGAGAATAATTACTGTGTCACACGGAGGTGTAAAATATCTTCTAACAATAGAGAGACCTACATTCGTGTCTTGGTAGAGATAAACTCTTATGAATCTAGTAAATACGCTTTGTTAATCATGGTTGTACCTACGAGGAAAGAAGGACCTATATATTATGTTTTTTTTGTTTTATCTTTAGTTCCAAACAGAATTTTACTACATTTACTATTTTCATGTTCATTCAAATATAACATTTTATATATATAAAAAGGACGGCGATACGGTAGCAACTGCGTGCATACGTCTAATAGTATGTGTAAATAAACGACTATGTTTTTAAATTAAACACTTTAACGGTTGAAAACGCGATATATTAAACTTAAAAAAATAATTTCAAATAATTTTAACTAATATATCGCGTTTTAAACCGTTAAAGTGTTTTATGTAAATATGTGCTACTTGCGTAAACTATAGACAGTTTAGACTATGATTTTTTAAGAGCGCATTTTGGCATGAATTGAGTTGAAGGTATTAGTGAAGCTTAGTTGAAGAGACATAAGTTTGACAGCCTCGTTGATCTGATGGTTGCAATGTATAGCTAATAATCAACGGGTTCAGAGTTCGATCTCCTTTGGGTCCATGTTTCTAATCAATTTGTATTTTTTCTGAAACATGTTGGTCTTTGTCTTGAAGTCAGTTATTAAACGGGTCTATCGAAATTCTGTTCATCTGAAACAACCGTTCACAAATGAAAAAGCCATTAAGTTTAATCGCGTTTCGGTCGCAGTCTGTGGATTTCTTAATATTAAACGCCATAAAAGGTCGACAGCGCAACGTGTTATGTAAATGTTATATGGGTGTTGTATTTCACCTTTGCATGGAGTGAACTCCTATATCATATAAAGTTAACGGGATTTGGGAAAATAAATTCCTAGATAGGACTAGTTTTCCGATGTCTCATTCTGTACTAATAAAGTTACCACAGACTAGTCAAGCCACATGTTGTCAAAACTCACATCGTTTATACACAGTTTTTCGCGCCTATCGATCTGTCATTATCTAACAGTTACGTAATCTATTATTATGCAACTTTGATTATTGACATTCGTTAATTCACAGAGTATGTGCATTCATATGGAGTTTTTGTTTGATCAGCGTAACAAAAACTAAATTCACACCTGTAGATTATGCAATGTGATTGTCGCAAAATATTTTTTATTAATAATTGGTGAGCATTGTAATATTGAATGGGCAGTGATTGTTTTATTTGTATTGTCTATGGTCGTTGGTATTCAAATTTCTTTTGTTGGATATTGTCGTTTCATTATCCCACTTTTTAATGTAAAATGTGGGGTGGTATTTGGTAGCACTTGGACTGGCCATTTGGCCAACACAACATATTTATTAGCTCCTCTAAAATAACCGGCTACAATAAGTTATAAGAAAGGACTAGATATATCTTTAGATTTCTTAGTAGGTTGGATGGTTTTTCGAAAAGGTCCTAAAACTTTTTTAAATCTAAATCTTTGTAAAATATGGACAATAAATGGATGAAATATCGAAATTCCATGTTCTACAGATGAAAAATCGTCGATGAGTTTTCTGTATGTGGATTACTAGTCTATAGTCGACAAAGTAACTTAACTAAATATTAAACAGTGCAGTTACCTTACCTTTATATAGTAAAAAGGCCACCTTGTCTGTCTGTCATTAAGAATGTAGATAGGTTAGACCATTCTTACTACAATCCATTCAAATTTATTATGTGCTTTCAAAAACGTATTTCTCAGATGCAAAAGACACTCATACATGATGTAATAAGCATTGAAAACAAATACTAGACAACTACACTTCGGTCAATGGCTTTGTTATATAACAGTCTAATACAAGCTTTCGTATTCTCACAAAATCAACTAACAGCCTACACCTGAATAAACCCGTTTTACTTAAAATATACGTAAAACACTGATTAAGGCAGTATACTAAAAATAAGTTATTTAATATACATATATCATCATGTGTCAGAATTAACGTATCAAATTTTATTGAGAAGAAGAGAGAAGAGATTTTTAAAACAATTAGTGATTAACTTTCACAGAACAATTTAAAAACTGGTACTGTTTAACTGTAAATAATATAAAGGAACTTACGTTTAAAAAAAAAATCATCTATCCATGTATGATATGTTAAACTAATTGGACTTTTAGTTTTTAAATGACATCAAAATCACCGTCTTATTATTTATATTTATTTTTATTCTTTTAAATTACACTCCCTATATCTCGCTTCACAGATGTCGTTTTTACTATTTATTTCTTCTTGCGTCGGTAGGTGGCGGTAAAAGATTTCCGCGCCTGCTGAATCTTCACTTGGAACGTCATTACCAAATACGGTTTTTTGCATTTTATTTACGAAAGGAGTAATTTTACACACGAGCAAACGTATGCACGCTGTGTCTTCAATTGGTTCTTGTATGAGTTGCTCTAGACGATCCGGTAGAGACTCGTTTTTGGCAGTCGCTATGAGATCTTGGAGATTCTTTGATTTCTTTTGCAAAATCCAAGAGCTAAGATCGTCAGAACGCTGGCGGGCTGGTCGCTTCGGTCCAGATAGAAACGTTGTTATCTGTAAATATATATTTTTAATTAATCATAATTACTACTTAATAGAACCTATTAAGATTAGGCAATAGGTAGGACAACGCGATTTGTGGCCAATCATTAAAGTAAAGCATAGTTTCTGCTTAGTGGAAAACGGAAAGCTCATTGGATACATTTATATTTTGACTCCAGGCCCTGTATAGAATATACGAAAATTTACTCACAAAAAGAGAAAAATTTGCTGGATTATGTGTTTTAATTTTTAAGTATTGTAAAGCATTTCTTACCATTACCGCCTCTGTAGCCAAATGGTATTGCATACTATTGCGTTAGCGCGAGAGGTCCAGGCTTCGAATTCCAAGGAAACAAAAAAATTGTTTCGGTCGGACTGGGCACTGAAGTCTGATCAACTACTTGCCTGTTAAAGAACGGATCGGTGAAACGGACACAAAATGTGTTCGCCCCATGCCCCACGAGAAGAAACGGTATTTCACATTTCTTACCATTTGAGCGATAAAAATAAGTGCATTTACAGCTACCGCGCTGATTTGATTCGTCTGCAGTCCAAACAGCTTGATCAGGTGTTTCCATGGAGACATGAAATTAATTTCATTAACGCCATAATTTTGGTAATTTTCATTCGTTGGTTCTGAGAATGCTGTATCTTGTGTTTCGCTGAAGTTTGGCTGTTTTCTTTGTGTTGAGGGATTTGCTTGAAATGCTCGCACTACGAAATCGGCCACTTTCATCGCTACCGATTCACTTCCTGGAAAGAAAAACAGTTATATTATTTCATAAGCAAAAATGTTCATCTTTAAATTACATGTAAAACTTGAATAGAATTGCAATAATGTCAATCTATGGGGCCTTATTTAGTCTGCACTATTCTTTTTAAATAAATTGCTGAATTTCAAAACGATGATCTATTTCATTTAGTAACTCTATCGTTACAAGAACAATCTTTAAATAAAACCTAAATACCTATTAATTGATAGCGATTGCTATAAAAATCAATTTATTTTGGTTTTTACAAATAACATAACAAATCGATTATATGTATATATAATTAAGGAGCAAATTTCAAAGCATACCAAGAAAATCCTTTGCAATTTTAATACCACTATTGATACGATCCATAACAGAATCGTGCCCGAAGTTTTGGTTAGACGACACAATTTCGAAAAGAAGAAAAAGCACAACTAGTGACGCCATCTCGAAAGAACGGGTTGAAACACAATGAGACAATGCTTTCGGTTATGCTTCGATTCCTGAAATAATGGCGTATGCGCAGTCATCTCACCAGAACATCTTGTAACTATACAGGTTGTTTGACTTAAATCTCGCCACAGGACTATATTATTTTGAACGTTTTTTTTAATATGCTGACAATGTAAAAAATAAAACAAAAGATATTATGTACTTTCTTGCTTAGACAAACAGATGGCGCTACTTTTATCATCTGAGATTGATTTATTCATTTACAAAAATATTTAAATTTATAAAGCTGATATGTTTGAATTGAAAAAATATGTTTGTGTTGCTGGGCCATTTATTAAAGAAGGCTTTAGGCTACATAACATCACGCAGCGACCAATAGTAGCGAAGGAAAATGTGGAAAGAACAGGGAAAATTATTTATCCTTGAAGGCTTCGTAGCGGGCGCTGCGGAAACGGTTTAATTTTTGTATAAAATTTATTCTTCTTTAAAAATTCTTCTTCTTTATGATAAAAAAGCTAAAAACTGAATCGTGTTTGTTAGAACTATACTAAAAATGATTAGTGTTGAAATCGATTAACAAAAGAAACTGTTACCTAAGGAGCATTTTCTAACTGTTTACCTACATTTAAATAAAACACTTTAACGGTTTAAAATGCGATATATTAGTGAAACTTATTTGAAAATGATTTTTAACTTCGGCCCGACGTTTCGTAAAAATCATTTTCAAATAAGTTCAACTAATATATCGCGTTTTAGACCGTTAAAGTGTTTTATTTAAATGTGTACTACTCGCGTAAACTATAGACAGTATTATGTTTACCTACATGTCAAACAGTTGGACAACATTAAAAAAATATAAGAACAAACAAACAACGAAAAAACACGGTATACATTCGTTATGATGACAATGAATTTGTCCTACAAGCTATTGTCATACATACATAACCCTATACTACCTGTAATATAATAATGTTGATTCAAAAATAATTATAATATCTTTGGGTTTTATATTTTGTCAGTAACTTTTAACTCTAGACATGCAGTTAAAAGTTACTTAATCAAATATAAAACCCTTCAAAGAGTTTTTTGCGTAAATTACAAACATAAGAAAGATCGATACTGACTTATTTAAGGAAATTCGAATTTTCATTTCTGATTTTGCTTCCAAAATTATTTTAAATCGTGTAAGTAGTTGTGTAGTAACAGACATTTTGTTTGCTTGAAGAATCATTAGTTTTTTGAGTTTATAAAGTAAGTTAAGTAATAAATAAATTTTTATTATTTAATTAATAACGTAATATAATCTTGAGATTGATATAATAGGATTGTGGCCCATTTTATAATTTGAAGTAGGATTTAGTTGTACATATATACAGCTGTATTTTAGATATTGACTTATTTACGCGAGTAGTGAACATCATGTTAAAACCGAGATATATTTTCAACCATACGAATTATATAACACACATGTATCTTAAGACATGAAATATACCTTACCTACCGAAATATAACTGTTGTAAAATACCAAATATATCAATTAATGTAATTTTATGCGAACCGACGTTTTAAACACTTATCAGCATTCTTGAACACGAGTTTGAAACCGTTAAAAAAGTTTTATTTACTTAATTTTCTCAGGCATCTTATCATAACGTTTCAAACATCAAAGACGCCGTTACCCCGTTTTGCTTAGTAGACCACAATAATGTCACGCACGCTCATTTTAACACGTTAGCTCCTACTGAAAAAGCGTCATGGCGTTTCTCGCCAAACTGATCTTCTTTTATTTAATCCAACACATATCAGCAATCACAGATGAGATTCAACTACTGAACGAGTTATCAGTGGAAAAGTTGATGCAGTTGAAGAGCTCACTACAACCACAGTACGAGAATAAAACAGAAGCACCATATTTGGAGAACTTCGGGGCGCAAGCGATGGCCGTTAAAGCACCCAAAAGAAGAAGCGATCACAAAGATCTATACAAGGAAGAAAGCAAGATCAGTCACATCTTCACCATGTCTGTCACCACGTTAGCCTTTCTAGCGTTCGGTGGATATCTCTTGTGTTTGATAGTGCATGCTGTCAAGTCGAAACAAAACACGGCCGTAGTCACCCCGCAGCCGACGTTCTTTGTGAACGCCGGGATAAAACGACCCCAAACCCAATTTGCGTCTTACGGCCGCAAGAAGAGAGATCTTGGTGAACTATTGCCGCCCGATGAAGTGTTCTTGGCGCTGATGCGACTGTGTGAAGGTTATGCTAAGTGGAGTGATAAATAAAGTAGATTTTAATAATATAATAATGTGGATGCATGGTAAATAAGCTTTAGATTTTTAAAGCGGAAAACAAAGTAAGAATTACGAGCTATCAATTCTTTACCAAATACTGTAGTTTACGCGAGTAGTACACATTTAAATAAAATACTTTAACGGTCTAAAATGCGATATTTTTTAGTAAAACTTGTTTGAACATTATTTTAACTACGGCCCGACGTTTTGGACGCTTTGCAGCAGCCTTGGTCACGAAGCGACATCACTACATTAATAAGTAATAACGATATTAGTAAACACATTCAGGCGAACACATTTCTGTGTCCGTTTCACTGACCGGTTTTATTTACAAGTAAGTTGACCAGACTTTTGTGCCATAGCCGACCGCAACAATATATTCTTTCCCCGGGAGTCATACGCAGGACCCTTCGCGCTTAACTCATCGCTAGGCAACGCATTTAACCATTTAGCTACAAAGGCGCTCACTAGACAAGTTACATTCTTTTCTAGTACCAGAATAAAGATAGAGATTGACAAGTAGTACTTACCACAAATTATTTCAACAGATTTGTATATTTATGATTAACACAATCAAAGGTGATATTGGAATTTATTGTCTGTTCGCATTTAAGCAAAGTTAGTGATCTAACATTTGTTAGAATTAGTTGTGAAAATTAATTTTGTATTCAATGCTATTGATGTATTCGACAGATAATAAGAAGCGATTCTTTTTGCTCAACGCAAAGTAGAACACTGTTTACAATAAATGCACGAAGCCACATTGCCCGGCAATATACAGGCAACAATCTGTAAACGTTTTCAAACTGTCAAATATTCTACCTAACACCCAATAATAGCTGTATCTACGTTTAAAAGATAATTATACCATCTCAAATTCGCCGTAAAACCCAATAAAGGAATATAGATCCTCGCATTTGGTGAATAAAGCGTGTTTTTGTGTAAACACTTGTCGGTTTTATGATATTTTGTTTGGTTCTAAGTATGCGCTCTTGTTTGTAAGAGCGCGTAATGAGGAGATCTGTTTTCGGTCTATCAACGCTCCGGCTGCACTGTTTACAGAACGTTAGATATTTAATCAACGGTTTGCAGGCTGCTGGAAACATATGACGATCGTGGTTTTTATGGTTCTCTCATAGTGATATTCGAATTTAAACAAAACATTTGTTAGACAAGGAATGCGTTAAACTGTCTAAATCCGTTAATATAATATGGTACAATGACAACAAGAAACAAAAGAACACGAAATAAAAATTATTGCAAATGAAAGACAAACGGCGACTCTTCCAAGCAACCGCGATGTAAGTGAAAATTATAATAATTAATATGTACTTTATTAAATACTGTCTTTAGTTTACGCGAGAAGTACACATTTAAATAAAACACTATAACGGTTTAAAATGCGATATATTAGTTAAACTTATTTGAAAATGATTTTTAACTTCGGCCCGACGTTTCGGATGGGGAGTCTCCCCGTGTCCACGGCTGCTGCAAAACATCCGAAAGATCGGGCCGAAGGTAAAATCATTTTTAAATAAGTCTAACTAATATATCGCGTTTTAAACCGTTAAAGTGTTTTAATTTATAGTTTACGCTTAAGTTTAAAAGTAACAGTGACCCCGGCTGCTTCAAAGCATCCGAGACATCGGATCGAAGTTTAAAATACCTGAACTAATACATTACTCGTTCGAAACTGTTTAAAATGTGTAGTTAAAAGTTACAGTATTTGTTATGAATGATAATACATATATTGCGTTTTACGTCAAAGTGTTTTATTGTAGTACAGACAATACTTTTTTTGACTATTATAAATATTATGGATCTACTTGTCTTATAGCTTCTAGTATACGTATCTCTTTTTTTATTATTTCAATATGTAACTAATAGTATCTACTGTAGTATTCTAGCTATCGACCAATACTCTCTATTCTCTTGTGTTCTTAATTTAAAATTAATTAGCGCCCATCTTACATTTTTCACAATAAGTTTTTTTATGAGATACGAAGACAGACCAGCATAAGAGTCACTTGATCGAAGGTTAAGAACCTCAGCCATATAACATCTTGGCAAGATGCGCTGTCGGCCTATTTTTTGTCATCGGATATTCGGAAATCCACAGACTGAAAACGAAACGCGATTAAACTTCACGGCATTTTATCTGTGGACGGTGGTTCGTGACCCGTTTGGAATTTCGGTATTGCTAATACCTCTTTAATATCCACATTTCCAGACGTCTTGAGAAGATCGTAGGCTAGGGATCGAACCCGCGACCCACTCATTATGAGCATACTTCACCCCAATTCGATTATCGTAGCCTTTTCAAACTTAAACATCTATTTGACAATTTGCATACAATTGAGTTAGAAGGAAACATATTAACTTATCGTCCATTTTATTATCACTCGATAAGCTCGTAATAATGAGGATGGGTCGTCCTGATAGGGTCAAAGGTTTACGACGCACTTTCAAGTCTCACCAAATTGAATTTAAGTCGGAATCACATCGTAAAGCATCTCATGGCGATCTTTATGGTCAAATGATTGAAATCACCCTGCGGTCATTATATGTACCATTTCGGGTTTTATCGATAAATTAAGACAATCGACAATTTATCGACAAAAACTTTGGTAGATACACCATCAAGAAGAAGAAATAGAGTCTATTTTTTTTATATTATTGTTGTAAATTTCTTATGGAGTTTTTCGTATTTGTATCTATTATAAAAGTTAGTTAAATAAATGCCGTAATATTTAGTAGTAGTATATAATGTAGTTAATACACGTAATATTATCAATGTAAATTTCTAATGATATGTGAGTTTTTTCGTATATTAAATCAACGCTGTGGATAAGTAACTTATTCCTGAGTTACTTTTACTATAATTAGCTTACGTATTTGAAAATATGTTTGTCTACCTAGTTAGTATTTAGTAAGCCTTATTCAATAAATAAATAATCATGCTGCCTGCATACTATAGAAGGTTGTTAATACGCCGTAATATTTATTAGAATTATCCTTCTTATCCTTATAGTATTAAACCTAACCACGGAACGATTAGTCAATATTAAATTAAGTCTGAAGTACTATTTGCCTAAATTTTTTATCTTATAACCAGCTAAGCCGTTACGTTACGCGTGAAGATATCAATCTATTAAGTAAATACTTCTTTCGGGTGTTCAAAAACTAATTAAGATATTAACAATAGTACAAATTTCCTTCATTCGTGGGATGTAATATAGATTATTAACATATAAACTAAAGATTTGCAATTTGGAATTGGTTCCCAAGAACTAGCACAGTTATTTACTATCCTATTAATAAAACACGCAACTAGACATATTTCACGACACCTCCCGCCAATATCGCGTATTTATTTGCATACACTCAGAAACTTGTAACTCCAGTACTCGCACGCTAGTTTATCCTATTTAGGCATTACATTAAGTAACTAACAATAAATATTTCAGGGCAACAAAATACATCGCGGACTCTGTTGACAAATCCCGCAATAAAATATAAGCATTTACAATAAAATTAATTATTATTTACACGGCGAGCCCGACACCAGATATAAGAACGTGAGGTAGTTGTGGATATACCTCCGCCAAAACTGACTTCACCTATTTTTACCACCCTTACGTAATGTTTTATAAGATGTTTAGACGGCCAGCAAATTAGTCGTATCTATGTTAAAGCTTATACCTACCTACAATTAAAAAACAAACTTACGAAACAGGTTCTACTAGTTGAGCTTTAGTTTTTTGTCTGTGGTGAACGAATTTCTCAATTGCATGGAATGTAATTTTAATTAAGACAGTTACGTTTCAAGATTTCTTATATAGGGGGGAGTTCGGAATGTCCCAGCCGTATAATATATGAACAGGACGCACTGACGACGTAACTTGGCTTTCGAAAATGGACTGAAAGCGAAATGCGATTGAACCGAAACTTCGCGGTAATATTTAAAAAAAGAATTCTCCCTTTGAAACATTAGGCATATCTAATCTATTAAAGATAATCTATTTCAAAAATAAGAAGCAAAAAGTTATGTATACAGGACTTACCTACTCTTATTTCCTTCGTTTGGACTGGGTAGTAAAGGAAGGAGGACGGACACAGAAATGTGTCTGACCTTCGTACAGGATTAATCCCATGGGGACCACATCCTTACATGTATAACATCTGTATGTCCATGCTGGAGGTCCGGGACCCCGCGGCGGCTGCTTTATCGCATGCTGCGCGCGCGCCGGACACCTCGCGCCCCCCCACGCCCTCTCTAGGGTTACCACACTTAATTCTTTATACCTCAAACCGCCAAGAATATCTGCAATTACGTTAGTACTTACAACTTTGATGATTCGGTATTACATGTCTCTTGAGACAAATAAATGTAATTTGAATAACTTTATACAACGCGTGATAATATATTTGAGTCATGTATTTTCTCATTTAAATCAAATGTATCCTTATTCAAATAAATGCTTTTTCACTTATTCTGTGTCAATTTAATTATATCCGAGTAAGGAATAAAATTCGTTCATACTTTAAAAGTCGAACACAAAAGTAACGTCTTTGAAGTCTTGATGCTTTGAACGGTTTCCAATGCTAAGTATATTTGCTTATTTTTTTCAAATTACATCATGTGAATGCTTTGCAGATGTTACAAGTGGTTTTCTTAAATATTAATAATTATTTATTAGGTCACTATAATCTCCATCTACGTAGTTACGAAATTTCTAATCAAATCCTTACACACCTTATAAACGACGTCACTGTCATAGTTTACAACCGCCGCGAAGCCTCATAACTCCTGCGCAGCCTCCGCAGGACTTGCAGGCGTCTGAAAAGACATTTATTGTGATTTACAAGCGTATAAGCTTTGTGCTTATGACTTTTAGCTTGAACATGAGTAAGGATAACGGTTCCATTGAGTTATAAACGGTATTAACAGGTTGGCTTTTTTAATACACAAACTTATTAGATTGACAAAT